ATGTCGACCCAGTAACATACCTTGGATGTGTCGATCGATTGGTCCGCCTGTCAGGATTTTCCGATCAGACACTTGTGGGTGATTGCGCGATTTGTAGTGTTCACATTCGCAACACTCGTTTGAACGGCACATACGAAAAACTAAAGGGTTTATTATTAAAACTGGTTGAAACTCAGTTACAGGGCAAATATCAGATCAGCCAAGATTAACCGCGACTGACTGAAGTTCGACGGATGCATTCATGCTGTCCATTACTGTTTAGTTTTTATTTTATTTAGCAATAATAAGTAATCTATGATCGTTCAGCCCTAACACTCGGTGCCTATTGGCCAAGCAACCCGAAGGAAGTAAGAGAGCTCAGACACTGTCGAGGTATTCGAGATACCGAATCACTGACATTCAGTCAGTAACTTTGTGGTTTAAACACTGCATCATCTGGAGCTATCCACTGTTAATTTGGGAATCGCCTGAAAACTCTTTGTCAGCCCTATGAGTAGTGTGTCGCGCCTAGAAAATGTACTGCGATGTTTTGAAAACCGTCCCGACAGAGGCATTCTTAGTGCAGTGAATTCAGTTGAAGAATGTCATAGACCAACGATTAAGCTGGGATTCACTTTGGTCTACCCCCGTGAACATGAACCTGGCTTGCAAGTGAGCGAGTGTATTGAGCAAACTCTCCGATTTACTCAGTTCCATTTGGTACCCGCAGTTCACTCCGGTGCTCCATTAATTTATCAAGCATTCCAATCTCTTTATCAAGTAAAACCCCGATAATTACGACCCCCAAACGTGACAAAACAACAAGAAAGGACTCTTTAGGAAGGTGTTCACACTCTTCGGATTGGTATAATCTTCCCGACCAAGAAGAACAATCTTTTGGCTTCAACCTGCATGAAAACCAAGGGAAATTAGTAAAAAGGAACATTCAACAAGTGATCGTTGATGGTCACCTAATTTTTCTCTGGCTGGCAATTAGTTTATCTCGCCAGAGGTTTGTTCGAATGCTGGACTCCAGAAAGCTCACTGGTTCAGGCATGAACTTATTGACTGGAATATCCATGGTCCCATCCTAACCTAGTCATATCGACTGCTCCTGTCTAGAATGGGACAGCCCCTGATGCTTTCTTCGGGTTATATGACACCTAAGCACCGAGAGGACGTCACAGCTGAAAGACTACTACTATTAGTAGTAGTGGTAGTAACATTCTCTAAAGTCACTCAACTTAAATTTGTGCTCGTCAGGTTGGGAATTCACCACACAAAAAATTGTGTCAACTTTCTGAAAAGCGTTTTCCCCTAAAATGGCGACTTCTCCATCGGTTCCAGTTCAATGACATTTGGGACTGCTCAGACCACTTGTGTTTATGAAGTCTCGGAGAACTCGAATGGCCAAATCGACCTAGTCCATTCCAAGGACAACGGTGCTGAACACGAACCTACGAAGCGAGAACAATGGAAACGACGTTTTGACTTCTTGCTCGCCTGTGTGGGCATGTCGGTGGGGCTGGGCAACGTTTGGAGATTTCCATATTTGTGCTACAAAAATGGTGGAGGTGAGCTGGCATATTCTGTTTTATCCGGTGGTGAAATCGAGGATTGTAAGGGCTTTGTTTTATTGTACCCAGTACAATTTGTAGATAGCTGTAACGGTGTTGATATTTTGGTATATTCTAATCATGGAAACGAAAGGCAACGTCAGTGTCATTCATTCTTTGAAGCATTCGGATAAAAGATCAGTTGGTACCTGGAAGAAATCAAGCTTTTTTGCGCCATTTACAGAAGTACACTCCATTAAAAGGGAGATGATATCCAGCGCTTGACAGAATT